TACTTAGCACAAATCCCTTTACAGGGAGCTTAGTATGGCCCAAGGCCCAGGACTGGTGAAGTCACATCTGCACCCACAGAATGTGTCCCATAAACATCCCACAACACATCTCAATCGTGTATTGGAAACATCTCCCAATGACAAGTACAGGAGATGTTTTCAATGCATGCTGAGATATGCATGTAGGGCATTTTTGGGCGTGTCCTATGGGTAGGGGTGTCAATTGGATTGGATTTGGTCCAACCTAATCCAGTCCAATGTAAGTCCATTACAAATGGACCAGGTCCAATCCAATCCAATGAATATTTTGGACCATTTGTACCAATCCAATTCAATTTTTGGACTGTCCAATATGTTCAAATTCTTTTTAATTTAGAAGGTTTGAATCCAAACCTAGTCCATTGACACCTATATTCTTATCTTATATCAATGGATCAGATATTGGCTTAATCCAACCCAGTCCAATATAAATTTATTATGGATAGACCAGGTCCAATCCAATCTAATAAATATTTTGGACTGAATTGGTCCAATCCAATATGTCTTGTTGGTTTGTGCAATTTGTCCAAATTGATTTTGGACTGGACAAAGTCCAATCCAAAACCGGTCCATTAACACCCTTATCTGTGGGGGGCAGATGTGAACTCCGGGSCTGGTAGGTGTGGGCCATGCTAGCCTGGCCAATTCTCCATGCCATGTTGGATTACTATAGTGACTAGGCCAGGCCGACCCATGAATGGAATTGGGCCTATGGGCCTCATTAGAAAAAATGGAAAACAAATAATGAGAAATTAGCTATTTTTTTGTTTTATATATAATAATATTATTATGAATTTTTCTTTTCTTTTATTTATGTATATATTTTTTAGTTTATTCAACAAACTTTTGACTTGGATTTGAGAATGCTTGACATTCAATCAGCTGACTCATCCTCAAATCTATACTACTTTAAAAAGTATGAATAGCCTAAAGAATATTTCTGGAATTTTCTGAAGACAAAACCCCTCTATATTTAAATTTATTGATAAAAAATGAGGGCAAATAGGGTAGTTGGTTATTGATATTAAATGAGTTGAAAAGAGGTAATTTTAAGATTTTCAATGCTTTCAATCTCTCTCATTAAATCTAACATTTAAATTATTAATTTGTATTCACTTTCATTGAATCATATATTTAAGGCTTTTTGTTTTTTTCTCAACATTAAATTCTATAATTAAATCCATACATAATAAATTAATAATTTCAATAAATAAAAACTTATACTTTTAAGAAATTAAACCATTTTGGTCAAATGCGCCAATCCATGTTGCCACAATTAAATAATAAAATTCAAAAGTATATAAAATGCAAAAAAATATAGAAATTAAAAAATRGGGACATTTTAAACATTATATATTTAACATATTAAACAACAATAAGTATGATAAACAAAGTTTTAAAAACTGACACAGAGGTTGGCCCGCTTTTCCCTTCGGGTCACAAGTCATCGATTTGCCTATCAAGGTCAAACGAGTCAAATTGCTCTGCATCAACATTATGTGTGTGTGTGTGTCTGTAAAAATACCTATTTTATCAATAAATAGTATAATTATGTTTTACATATATTATAGTTATGTCTTACAGATATTACATATAATATATGTATTATCTAACATTCATTTACGTTTTTAATTCAAATTTTAATTTTTTATTTATAAAAATATTAAAATTACAATTTGGGGCCAAAAAGGGTTTTTTTCGCAAAAAATAGCAAGGAAATGCACCTAAGGCCCTTGGGTTGTATAGATCTTAAAAAGTTACTCAAAATAAAAAAGAAAAAAACATAACCTCAATCAGACATCAGAGTGCAAAGTTATGGCTTCCAAAAGTTTGCACATAATTGTGCAACCTACAACATGGTTACTGGGTCGAATAGGGCAATGGTTGAAATGCTCGGGTTGGACGGTTTTTAACTAAAAGGGGAGTTTCAATAGAACCAAACCTAAGGTCAAGTCCAAGTAATGGTTTGAATGGTTCAATTAGCCAGGTCAACAACAGGTTGAAAACATTGATGATAAATAAGAAATACTTTTTATTATTGATGAAAATGGAATGTAAAATTTAAAACCAATTGGAAGTAAAACTATTTCCTATTATCTCTCATTAAATCACATATCTAAGGTATATTCTCTTATTAAATCATATATTTATGATATATTTTTCTCATTATTAAATTCTACCAATTAAATCCACAACATTCATTTTAATAATATAAAAATAAATATTTTGAAAAGTAATTTGAAAACAAAACCATTTTCTTCTCTCTCGATGGTGGGTAAGCAATTCAACCATTTGGGGTCAAATGCGTTAATAAATAATACCATAATTAAATAATAAAAAATAAAATATATAATATATATAATACAAAAAAATTAAAAGAATTGGGCACGTCACTAATATTGTATATTCATTATACTGAAAAAAAACAAGTATAAAATGTAAGAAGTATTTTTATAAATGATGAAAATGGAATGCCAAAATTAAAATCAACCTAAAAATGAAATAATGTTATAGTCAGATAATAAAATTTTTAAAAATATAAAATAATAGGAATCACAAAAATAAATTTTATACATAAGATATAATATATATTTATAAAAAATAAAATATTGGGTACATCTATAATATTATACATTTATTAATTACGTTGAACAAAAATAAATATTGTGCATAAGATATAATTTTATCAATAATGGAAATGTAATACAAAATTCAATGCCAACTTATTAGAAATCAAACTTTTTTTTTGGGTCGTGGGTTAGTGTTTTAGGTCAAATGGATTAATTGATGATATGATAGTTAAATAATAAATATTTAAAAAGTAATAAAAAATACAAGTAATTAAAGGAATGTATAAAAAATTATACATTAATTATGTCAAATAAAAATTAAGTGTGATAAGTAAAAAATTATTATATAATGTAGATGAAATATATAAATTAAAATTAATCCAAAAGCAAAGCTATTTTCTTATCTAATGATGGGTCAAAAATCCAAAATTTCAAAGAAATTCATGATGTCAAAATTGAATAATTAATATTTTAAAAAAGATTAAATATAAAAAATAAAAAAGTATAGAGTTTTGTCAAAGAMATTTTAAAGCATTTCTAATGTTATATAATCATCATATTAAATAAAAATAATTGTTAAAATAAAAATTATTTTTATTTAAGACAAAAATGGAACACAAAATTTAGTACTGTAGTAGTAGTAGTAGTAGCAACAATCCAGTACCCGAACTTTTGAAACGCGACAATCTTGTACCTGTTGTTAACCAGTTGTTAAGTGGCATGTGAAAAGATACAAATACCCATTAAGTGTCATCTAATTTTCTTTATCAACCATCCGCTAAAATCAAAACCAATCGTCAAATTTTTCATCCATTTTAATTTTTTCCTCTAAGAGGTAATCAACCAAATAAGAAATTGAAAATTTCACACATCCATTTGCGTATTTCTTCCGCTTTTTTATTTTCTTATTTGGGTTGAAATTTGCAGGTTATTGCAGAACAATAACATTTTTGGAGAAATTCCGATGGAGCTCGAAAACCTTCCCAAGCTTCAGACATTGGATCTATCCAAATCCAATAACTAGTTCTCCGGCAACATTCCCATGGCTCTGGGTCAACTCAACAATTTGCTATACCTGTGAGCTTTTTGAATAAACATAGAGAGCTATTCATCTCTTTCTTTGTTGAATTCATGCTTCTTTCTCATTAGTCCTTTGCATCTAATCTCTTACTTTTTATCTTTTCTTAGTTTCCTTGTATCTAATTGTGTAGGAGGTTGAACAATAACAGCTTATCCGAAGCATTCCTAGTGTCCTTGGCCAAAATCACTCAGCATACTTTCTTGTGAGAATTATTTCTCTTTATTCAAACCTGCATAGAATTATTTCGAGCTCCTTTACCAAATCAGTTGAAGCTTTATCTAGTGGGGATTTAGGTGAGACATTAAAATTGGACAGGAAGCCAAGACACAAAAAGAGTTAGGCCCGACTAGGAGTTGGAACCTTGGGCATGCCACATATGTACCAGGAATTTACTTGACACCAGTTCTCATTAGAATATAAATAGAAAACAAAAATGATCTAGAGCAATTCCAACCATCCAATGAGTGAGTCTGTTAGAAAAGATCACGTTTGTGGTGTTTGTGACAGAGAGYTTGGGTTTTGTTTCATCTTCTTGGGGAAGAAGATAATGAACAATATGTTTTATTTTCTAGGGTAATTTTAACATTTTCAAAAGTCTTAAATCATCACGTGAGGTCACATGATATACATAATTGACAGTCCATTAATGGTATGTACTAGATTGTCACGTTTCGAAAGTTCGGGTACTGGATTGTCGCATTTCAAARTTCGGGGACTGAATTGTCACTCGAGCCAATGTATAGGGTATAGATTGAGAAGGTGGGGATATATCTAAAATTCTGCACGTGCACATTTCATACAAATATTTAAGTTTATTTAGTCATATTATTACTTTTATTAATTTTCAATTTATATCTTAAGTATAATTTATCTAAAATTTAAATAATTAATATGAAAAAAAATTCACACATGATGGGATTATGTAATAAATTTTAAGAAACAAAGTGGGTCCCATATAAAGGAGTGGCACACCACCCACCTGAGGATTCTTGCTCATGTGGGTACAAGTTCTACCTAGATTCCAATCTGACGCAAGAAAAAGCGCGTCAATAGAGTATCTTCACTATTCAATGCATCCAACCATAGAGCATCTTTCTCCTGGTCCCGGTTTATCTTTGCACAACATCTTAAGGATATCATAGATTTCAGCTATGTATCGGACGGTTATTGTCTTTCAACGGTCCACCTTTGATCGGACTGGACCTACCAAACTCAGGGTTTGATGCATGTTTAGACGGTAGGGAGGGAGAGAGAGTCGTATCATAATAAAATAATTTTATTTGATAAAATCGTTGTTGTCAGTTGAAGGACTCTCCTGTCTTGATGCCGTTTTATTCTGAGGGATGTCGCTCTCCGACGCCCGGGATTGAAATTGTAGGCGTAAGCAGCGGGTTCCTTTCACCGCCCAAGCACCGATCAATCGAAACCTCTCAAACAATTCAAATAAAACCCGAACTGATGATCCAGTTATCCCTTTTGGGTTCCTCCGAGTCGATCCCAGAAATTGAAACTTCGGGACGAGAAGAAGACAATAGCTGTACAGCTTCAACACAGAGGGAGAGAGGAACCAGAGAGAACAGACAGGTACCCTTTTGAACGATTTCTCTTTTGACATTCTATTTCGACCCTATCTACCGGGCTACATTCTTTGGATTGAAACTCATCTCAGGCTTCGATTTTAGGAGATGCCATTGCCAAATTTTCTTGTTAACTCGGTAATTTTTCTGTGATTCTCGTTTCCATTTCGAGCTGTTATTGTTCAATATTGACATTTAGTCAGGAGCTATTATTGCTCCTCTTACCAACAAAATTGAAAATTTGCGTGATGATCCAATGTGCTGGAAATATGTGATTATGGGGTTCTGATTTTCTGTTTATTTGATCCCTTCCTATTTTTGGATAATTCAGGCTGCAGGATCTTGTGGGTGACTCGGATTTTTATTTTTCATGTAATTATCTGGACACAAAGAGGAGAAAACGTTTCTTGTATGGTACTTTGATATTGTTTATAGCTATTAGATTCCTATTGTTCTTCAATTCTCTAAGGACACAAGCGAACCGTTTAACGACTTTGGGTTTGGTTGTGAAGATTGGGGAATTATAGGTGACCCATTGAAATGATCGTACCATCTAAAACAATTTCAATCCAATACTTTTGCAATTCGGATTGTTATGGGGTTATGTGGTTGGCCTGAAAATGGAAATCTGAGGCTGAAGTTTTGGGCAATTGATTTATGAAGGGTTTGAATATGAACATTTATGAATAAAACGAGGTTATGATGCGTTTTTGACACCATGAGCGCCTTCAGATTTGTTTGCAAATTCAAGGGGCAGAAAAGAACCGAGCACTCAACATGTCAGACAATGTTCTTATGCGTTAAGTAGACTGGGGATTTAATCCAAAACCATGAAAACTGATGCACCTGGCCCTTCAGGGCAGAGGATACAGCAAGAATCAGCTTCCGTTGTTTTGGGAGATGGATTCCATCCAGGAAAGCGTGCACATAATGTCTCTGTGCAGACTGGTGAGGAATTTTCTCTAGAGTTCCTTCAGGATCGTGCTGCATCAAGAAGGGTACCCATGATACCTGACATAGATCAGGGCCACTCAAGAAGAGGTGGGTTTAATTGTAATCAGAACAATCAGATGAGGTATGAAGACCTCACTGGCATTCTTGGCTTCAGGAGAATGGATTCTGAATGTGGTGTTGATGTCTCACATTTTGCCATGGGAAAAGACCAAGCTGCAGAGATTGATAAAATTGAGAACAGTGGTAATTTTGATAAAGCTAGAAGATACCATATGGAGGCCAGTGCCAGTGTTAAAGGGTTAAGGTTATATTCTGATGAAATGGATCGTGAACGAGCTGCTCAGCTACCATCCATTCGACCAATTTCTATTTCCAAGTCTTCTCATTTTTACCAGCCTAATTTGTTAGGAGTTTCAGATGGTTCTAAGCCTGGCAAGATGAAGTTCCTCTGCAGCTTTGGCGGAAGAATCTTGCCCAGGCCAAGTGATGGAAAGCTTAGATATGTTGGTGGAGAGACAAGAATTATCACCATCAGGAAAAATCTTTCTTGGGAGGAGCTTGTGAAGAAGACATCGGCCATTTGCAATCAACCTCATATGATCAAGTATCAGCTCCCTGGGGAGGACCTTGATTCCCTTATATCTGTGTCGTCAGATGAGGATCTTCTGAATATGATAGAGGAATACTATGGATTTGAAGGAGTTGAGGGTTCTCAAAGATTACGGATATTCCTTATTTCTTCAAGTGAATCTGAGGGCCAATGCTCTTGTGAAGCAATGACCTCACAGCAGAGCAATTCTGAATATCAGTATGTTGTTGCTGTTAATGGCATACTGGACCGCAGTCCCCTCAAAAGCTCTAGTGGACAGACTTTAGTGAACCAATTGGGGCATAGCTTGGATACAAATCCAAGTTTTCACCGAGATTCTCCTTCTTTTCATCCTTTGGAGATCAAGGATGGCATCAATTCCTCAAATCTGGTTGGGGTGTTCTCTCATCCTTCTGCTCCATTTTTTATGGCCCATAACCATGACATAGATTCTAAGAACTATCAAATGCAATTGCCCGAGGATCAGTTCTGTCTTAGTAGTAATGAAAACAGCAGTCCCTTTTTCACTGACCAATCTCCACTTGACAATTGTTGCATTGACACCACTGGCTACTATCATCCTCTGCAAGGTCCTATTCAATTAATGAATCATCATCATCCTAATAAGCATGTGATGGATGTTGACCAGACACAGAAACCCCGTGGAGTGCATTTCCACAACCGCAGACCCAGCAGAGATTTTTCTCTGGCATTTGTTCGAAATGTCAGTGACATGGAAGGGCACTCACGTGAAAGGCCCATGCTCAAGGAAAAGGCATTTCATTCTGAAAAGTTCCTCTCACATCTCGAAGACAAGATAAATACGTTGTCAGGATCTAACGATTCAATAGGTTCTCATCATGGGTTGCCACATGCACGCTCTGATTCACAGCTGCAGGAACATGGTGGGAGGTCTGCTCACGGTTTGCAAGAAGGAGCCACCTCATCATCCCCCTCGGCAGTTGCACACTCATCCTCATGGCTAAATTCAAGTGCCTTGCATGAAAGACCAGAGCAATTCCAAGAGAATGCTGATTTTCCTAATCCTAAGTTCCCAAGTATGTTGCGAGATACACAATCTATTGTCCACCAGAGGAGACTTGATTTGTCAAATTCTTCTCATTACCCAGAATTCTCAGGCAGAATTGAATCTCACCTGGAGGATGATTCAGTTGGTTCTCATCATGGGTTGCCACATGCACGCTCTGATTCACAGCTGCAGGAACATGGTGGCAGGTCTCCTCTCTGTTTGCAAGAAGGAGCTACCTCCTCATCTCCCTTTGCAGTCACACACTCATCCTCATGGCTAAATTCAAGTGCTTTGCATGAAAGACCAGAGCAATCCCAAGAGAATGCTGATTTTCTTAATTCTAAGTTGCCAAGTACATTGCGAGATACACAATCTATTGCCCACCAGAGGAGACTTGATTTGTCAAATTCTTCTCATTACCCAGAATTCTCAGGCAGAATTGAATCTCACCTGGAGGACCATGATTTTGATGGGAAATGTCAAATGACTAAAGGTCTAAATGATCCCAATTTCATGTTAAGAGAATGTTATGAAGAAAATCCTAGATTTCCATGTGAGATGTTCACCCTGACAAATGAGAAAGATTCTCATCTTCCTCAGGATGCAAAACAGTATGAAAGTAATATAAACACTATACCACATGCTACCGACATGGAACATAGGGATAAACTGCAAAACATTGATCAACACCAAGGTCCTCCTGCATCATTCTTTATTTCTTCAGAACCTTGTTCAGATATTAAGGGAGAGCACCATAAAGTCTACCAACCAGATAGATCTACATCTGATTTCCTTGTCAACAACCATATAGTTTCCAAGGATCAACATTGTACTATGACTAAAGTGGTGAATGATGGTATTGAGGATGTAAAAAGTGTCCTACCTTGCACTTCTTCCATTCCATGGTCCAGGGCTGCTGAAGTTGCAGATTTTGAAAAATCTATTCATCATAATGCCAAACAACATTCCAATGATGATGTTTCTCTAACTGATTTACTTAGTAGTTCATCCAATTGCCCAGTTTCATATGCATCACCTGAGCTAATACCTGTTTCATCTCAGAGGGGAATGGGTGACCAACCAGAAATGGTAACAACTTCTGTTTTAACTCCAATTGCAGTAGCAGATGCCACTGATCAGATCTTAAACTCGCAAACAACTGAACCCCAAAATAGTTGGTCTTTATTTCACAATCCAGCAACAGATGGGGTTTTCAGAAGAGAATTGTCTCTCCCTGATGAGGATCCTGTGAATTATATTGAGTATAAGGTTGAAAAGCTGGGCCCTGTTGGACACTCTTATAAAGTGTCAAAGGTTGAAGATGCTAGCCTTTTCCAGTCAGAGCCCCTAGATAATCTTCATGAGAAGATTCAGCTGGAACCAGTGGTTATTGTTGAAGATGTGACTGTTAATATGCCTCCTGCCATTCAATCTCATTCCATGGTAGTCCCAATTGTAAATGAGGGTTTTGAGGATAACCCATCCTCCAGAGCAACGGATGCAGACAGCATGAGTCCAGACTCTGAGTACAATGTAAGCTTCTTCTGCTATATAATTGATACTTATTTTTATGGTTTAACCTGTGATACAGTCAAGTCATTGTTCACTTATGGCCTAGGATTCGAAAAGTGATGATAGAGATATGGATGCATCGATCAGTGATGCTGCAATGGCTGAAATAGAAGCAGGCATCTATGGTTTGCAGGTTTGGAACTAATGTCTTATGTGTTTTGCAAGTGACATATGAGTTTCCTCTTTTACTTGTTTGTAGAAGTATATTTTCTGATCAGACATGATAATTTGGAATTAAATATTTTGATGCAGTTAATTATCAATTTAAACTGATTCTTTACTGATTTGTGTGCTCTTTGTTCCTATGCATTATCAATACAATAGGCCAATCGTGCATTAGATAAACAGTAATCGTATTCGCAAGAAGCATTTTATGAATCTTTTTTGTGTCTCTTGAATAGAATAATCAATTATGGTTGAACATTTGAAAGTTTTGTGTCTGGTTTCTGCTGTAGACATGATTTCCTGAAAAAGAACTAGATGGTAGCACTGAAAGATCCATAGCTGGTTGTGATATTGTTACTGCCATGCAGCAAATAGAGGAGTAAGGAAGAGAATGATAGAAATACAAAGAAAAAGTGGAGGAGAATACAATAAACTCTCTACCAGATGGTGCTATTTTTATAGATTTCTTTTTAGGATACAAATATACAATACAATGCTTGTTCTGTTCTGCCCTTGTAAAGTGGGGAACTTAGGTAATACTCAAATAACAGATGCAGGACAGGGAAGGAGTCCTACAAATTCTAGTGGCCTGAAGTTTCAACTGTTCCACTTCCAGTACCGTTCCTTGTGTTTCCCAAGATATGTCTATTCCTTGTGATCTATCTTCATTGGGTTTGAGTCCCTAGAAGTAGTTTCAGGTCTGTTATAGGTTTAAGAAGATTGTTTACACGAAAGCTAGAGAGCTTCTTTTCCTTCCAATCATCTTGAGGAGGACAAAATGAGACATTATGCTAATTATCTTCACAGGCTTTAATGTTTCCATTGCCTTGAAGAAAGGTACCACCGTTTATATACAACCCATTTTATTTCTTAGTATCTTTTCTATTATTTATTATCACCTTCCTATAGGTCTTTTTCTTTCATTTATTTCCCCTGTATCAATTCCCAAGATTGTGAAGCTCTATTTTATACCTGAGTAAAAAGATGCTATATAGGAAGAAATGGATACTTTACTTAAGAACCAGACAAAGGAGCTTGTATGCAGATGAGTGTTTGTGTTTATTGTGCAATATATAGCAGATGGGTCTATTGAGAGGTATAAAGCAAGGCTACTGGCAAAGGGATAACAGCTATATGGGGTGGATTATTTGGAGATATTTGCACCGGTTGCATAGATAAATCTTGTCAAGGTTTTGCTTTCTTTAACTGCTTCCTATTCTTGGCCTATATACTAGTTGGATGTAAAGAATTCCTTTCTAAATGGTGACTTGCATGAGGAGGTATATATTGATCTTTCTTTTGGCTTTTATAAGAATGAAAAGCTTAGGAGAGTATGTAGGCTTAAGATGTTTTTCTATGGACTTAAGCAATCTATAGCTTAGTTTGATTTGTTTTGAGGTTCTTTGGTAAATGTTGGATTTGTCCACACCTAGTTTGATTATACTCGTTAAGAGAAAGGGGCCCTCTCTAATATCTCTTGTTGTATATGTTGATGATATAGTTGTGAGTCTTGTGATGGAGATGATATAGTAGAGATAGATAGAAAGGTTGAAGTGATTTTTGAGCCATGAATTTGAGATCAAGGGTGTCAAGGAGTTGAGGTACTTATTATCCAAGTAGAAAGAAGAAGAAATGAGAGATAAAAGGAAGGAAGAAGAGGGGAGAAGAGAAGAAAGAAAATTTTAGATGCTCAAAAAAATGCTGGTGGCATTGATAGTACATTAAAAGTAAAAGGGCATAAGTGCCCTTGCAACACAGGTAATAGAATTTACAAAACTCCCCCTCAAGTTGGACCATAGATGACAATTATGCCTAGCTTGTTACGTAACTCATTGTGCCACAAAAACTTTAAACCCTTTATAACTACATCTACAAGTTGCTCTTTGGAAATGACATATGGAGTATACACTTCTTTCTCAACTTTTTCTCTAATGAAGTATTTGTCAACTTCAATGTGCTTGGTTCGGTCATGAAGGACTGGGTTAGCAACTATTTTGATGGTGGATTTATTGTCACAGTAAAATGACATGGGACTGTTTACTGCAAACCCCAATTCACCCAACAAGTTTTTTATCCATGGCACTTCTGTAATTATGTGTTCCATGGCCCTATATTCTGCTGCAATACTAGATTTGGCTACTACACTTTATTTTTTGCTTTTCCATGTAACTACATTACATTCCGCAAAGGTGTAGTACCCACTAGTGGACTTCCTATGATTGATAGATCCAGCCTCATGTGGCCATATTTTTTGAAAAAGTACTTTTGCATGGATTATTCTTTAGAGACTTGAGAGTTCTTTTTTGCAGCCTCAAGGTGTGAAGCTTTAGGTGCATGCATATACTAGCTAAGTACACTCATGGAATAGGTGATGTCAGGTTGAGTCATTGATAAGTATAAGTGTATAACAACCTTCCCATCAGCCTTTGAAACTACTTCACATCCTAGTCTCACCTCACCTCACCTCACCATGACCATCATGCAGTTTGTGATTTGCATCAATGGGTTTATCAGTTGGCTTTGCCCCCAACTTAGTTGTACCTTGGAGAAGATCTAGGTCATACTTCCTTTGAAAAATGAAGATGCCTTTTTGTGAAAGGGAAACCTTAATTTCAAGCCTCCAATGATAACAATGTCATCAACATTAACCATTAGGACACCAATTTTACCTTGATCCCTCTTAACAAACAAGGTGTTATTTGACTGACACTTCTTGAACCTCATTTGGTAAACCACCGTATGAAACTTGTTACCAGGTTCTAGGTGATTAATTGTTTCAACCCATATAGGGACTTTCTTAGTCGACACACCTTGTGCTCACTACTCTTACTTGAAACCTAGGAGGCTGAATCATATAAACTTCCTATACCAAATCACCATTCAAGAAAGCATTCTTGATGTCCAACTAGTGAAGCTTTATAGTCAAAATTAGCAGCCAACAATAGTAGAGCCTAAATAGAGTTCATCTTAGCCACTTGTGCGAAAGTCTATGCATAGTCATCTCTATAAAATTGTGTATACCCCATGGCCAGTATTATCCTACTTTGTATCTTAAAACTATTCCATCAACTTTGTACTTCATTGAGAATATCCATTTGCACCTCATTGGCTCCTTACCTTAAGGAACATCAACAAGAAGCATTATTTTTGTGAAGATCCCTAATTTCTTCCTTCGTTGTGTTTGTCCATTCAGGAACATTTAATGCTTTTGTAACATTCTTAGGTATGGAAACACTATCAACGGAAAATAAGAAAGTATGGAAAAAGGGTGAAACTCTTTCATAGGATGTAGTGAGCAATGGGATGCTTAGTGGTCATGGAAATACTGTTTTGCATTGTCTTATTGGAACTTGGAAGATCTGGATCTTAATATGAAATTGTGTAAACACCATATGCTGGAAGTCTTGCAATTTTTAGAATTTCTTCTTTGGAGTGAATAGGATAGATCTAGTGTTTTAAAAGTGAAAGGCACACAAAAAGCGACAGGTTCCAAATGTGCCTAAGGCGCAAAGCGTAAGGTGAGGTGCATGCCTTTTTAAAAAAGGCACACAAAATAAAAAAAAAACTTAATAAATAGAAAAAATAGAAAAAACATGTAGAAATTCTAAGAAATCAGGAAAATTTTCAGAAAACAAAGTTAATTACTTAATTATTAGCTCAATTGGATAGATACTTAGATTATTCAGACATATTTGAAAGTCCATTCGAAGGTACTCTATAGTCCATCCACTTATGGGGTAGAGCTGGGAGCCCTGTTTTCATGTAAAAAAAGAAYAGAAGAAGAAGAGGAAGAGGAAGAAGAAGAAAGTGGGGAAGAAAGAAATACCGAAAAAACTAAAAATCCAAAAAAAAAAAAGAATGGGGCGAGCCCTGTTTTATTATTTTTATATGAAAACATTGTGAGTGTGACAATGAGGTGGAGCCCTATTTTAGTGTAAAAACAATCATGGAAAAAGGTTGGGCGAGCCGTTGTTTTAGTGTAAAACAGACAAGGAAAGAAGAAGAAGACGGGGGCGGAGCCCCTGTTTTAGTGTAAGCCTCTGTGTTAGTGTAAAACAAGGGGCGGAACCCCTGTTTTCAAGGTAAAAAGTGAAGAAATATTTGGAAAAAAAAAAGATTGGGTGGAGCCTTTGTTTTTCTATGAAGAAGAAGACGGGGCGGAGCCCCTGTTTTATTGTAAAACAGTGCAAGCAGAAGAAGAAAAGGGGGTGGAACCCTTGTTTTCAATGTAAAAAGTGGAGAAATATTTGGAAAAAAAAAAGATTGGGCAGAGCCCCTATTTTAGTGTAAAAAAGTGCACGGGAAAATATTTGGAACCCCTATTTTCAATGTAAAAAGTGAAGAAATATTTGGAAAATAAAGATTGGGTGGACCCCTTGTTTTTCTATGAAGAAGAACCTTGTCCTTGTGCCGAACTGCTGAAGGCTTGAAGACACTGTAGTTGCCGTTCGACACTTTGATTGAGACTAGGAGAGTTTGAGAGTCTAAGATGATTTGGGTGAAAGCCTTGCATGGAAAGTTTTTAGCTCTCTCGATATGGGTCATGTATTCTCTCTTTCAGAAATTCCATACCATATGCAATATTTTGGTACATAAAAGGAAATAAACAATTTATATACAATTATAATCATGTATAAAATTATGTTTAAAAATAAATTAAAAACTAGTGGGAAACCTAAATAGGCGCTCGCCGGGGCCACCTGGCGCATGGCTTGAGGAGCGCGCCTTAGGTGCAGAGGCGAGCACCTTTCTAAAAGTCTAGCCGCGTTGACCCATGTGAGGCATTTAGTCTGGAATGCACCTCGCCTTGCGCCTCAGGCACGCCTTTTAAATCACTGGGTAGATCCAAATATATTTGGAATAGTCATCAATAATACTTATAGCCACCCTTAATAGCCACAGATGTAGGGCCCCAACATTAGAATAAATAATACGAGAAGGAAATTTTGATCTTTTATTACTTGAAGG